TTTTTTAAAAATTAGAATATGGTAGAGGATATTTTTACATGTTCATTTAAATTTGTGTTTCTTTTTAAATCAACTATCTTTTCATGTCTTTTGACTATTTTTCTGTTGCTTTTTCTGTCTTTCTGTTTTGATCTTGAGGAAGTTCTCTTCTGTTAACAATATTTATTTCTGTTAACAATATTTGTCATATGTGCCCATTATTTTCCCTAGATTGTAATTTTCTCTTGACTATTTTCACCAAGGAGGAAGCTTAAAATTTGTGTATAATCAAATTTATTAATCTTGACTCTTATAATTTCTAGAATTCTGGGTCACACTTAGAAAACTTTTCTTTACCAAAGTAATACACACTTATGGGTATCTTTTTTTTTTTTTTTGGTACCGGGGATCGAACTCAGGTCCTTCTGCTTGCAAGGCAGGCGGCAGAACCACTGAGCTAAATCCCTGGCCCCTTTATGGGTATATTTATAGCTACTTTAAAATATTTGAACATTCAACTATTTTATATATTTCTAATTTATTTTATTGTAAGACTTTAAGAAGTAAACCTGCCGTTTTTCCAAATATGTTATTAATTGTGCCATTTTGATTTACTAGATAATCTTTTCCTTATTTACATTTAATGCCAACTTTGCTTATATTTTTGGATCTTTTTAAATACACTTTACTCTATTCCTAGGGTATATAAAATTAATTTAGCATTATAACACATTTAAATTTATTTATTATCTCTGGACTCTTTATAACTTGACTTACTCATTTTTGAATACTTAATTTAAATCATCCCTTGATCTGCTGGATTTCATCATCAAGTACTTCTTTCTATGAGACCTCATGAGTGTCATTTGTCTTGAGTTCTTGCATATTGGAGAACATCTGCTGGTACTTCTTCAAAATGAGTGACTAACAATGGGGCTGGAGATTTATCTCAGTGCCACCAAGCCTGCTTTTCGAGCACAAGGTTCTGAGTTCGATCCCCGGTACCAAAAAAAAAAAAAGAGTGACTAACAATACATTATATTTAATATTCATTTTTCTATAAGAATTCTGTAAACTTTGCTCCATTGTATTCTGTCATTATGTATTGCAGGACATTGTGGAGAAGTCTGAGGCTAGCTTGATTTACTCCCTTTCTGAGTGACTTGCTTTTTCTACCTGATGTCTATGGAATTCTTGCTTTGATTTAATTTCAGATAATCTCATTTAGATTTCTATCATCTTCTCATGAATCACTAATTTTTAAAAATATTTTTTCTTGTTTCATCAGTGTCTGTTCTGCTTCCTGTTCCTTCTGTATGTGGCTTTCATTTTTACAGCACTTGCATCTGCATTTCCTTTTATTGTTCCAAATTCCCTCATCATGCTTTCCAACCAAATTTCTTGACTTATTAGATCTTATTTAATCTCTTGAATCTCTTTCTTGAGTTTTATTTTTCTGAGAGCCCATACCCATTTCTTTGAGAGTATGGAGTTTTTATCTGAGAATTTACTGTTTCCAAAGTGAATCTTTTTCTACTGTGAACCCTTACTCCATTTTATTTATTATATGTCTTTCCCCAGCCCCTGACAGGTTTGGTCCATATCTATTTATCTGACATCGGATCTCGAGTTACACTGAAGGAGCACGTAATAGAGAGCCACAGACCCTAGGGCCACACAGGCTGGGGTGAAATCCAAGCTCTACCACGCATCAGTTCTGTGACCTTGGACAACTAAGTTTGTACCATAGTACCTGATTTTTAAGGCTTTTGTAAGGACTAAAGTGCTCAGTACTGTGCCTGGTACACAGTACTTTATAAATATTAGAGAAAGATAATTCTGGTTATTACAAGGGAAACAATCATAACTTATCTTGCATCTTTTTGATGTTATCAAATTAATACACAGATATAAGGATGCTAATTTGATTTCTTTTTTCAGTTCAGCCTAAAAAAATTACCAATTAGGTTATTTATAATATGCACTACCGATAAAGAACTATCTCCACCTGCTGGCCAGATCAAGAATTAAAAATCAAAGATTTCAAATATTTTTGAGGGAAAACTTCATTTTGTAGTTATTGTGACTTATATCAGTGTAATCAGCAAAGAGCACTTTGCCTCCCTCTCTCTTCATCTGCACACACACACACACACCTCACACATTTAAATTAGCATCTTGACTCATAGTACTTTTTAATAATTGACACTCATTTAGTCATGGCACATGTTTATTTTTCATAAGAATTTAGATTTGTGTTGCAAACAGGCTGTATACATCCCCTTCTTGGTTAGTTTGGCTATTTCATACACTTAGCTTTCCAAATCTTGAATCATTGTCCTAAAAAAGCAGTACCTTATAATGTAATTTTCTTTATTCTTTCTTAAATTGCCCTGCACTCACCCACAAGAACCAGTAGTCATTGTGCATAACCTACACACAGGGTATTCCTTACTGCCATCAGTGTTTCACACAAAAGGAGATAATTCTTAATTGACTGTTCTTTCCTTCTTTTAAAAAAAAGATGCTTTGAAAAGAGCTAATAAATGTGCTTCAGTTAAATTCTTCCTGGAACTAAGTCATTTCAGGCTGAATAGTAGAGGCCAAATTAGATCTTGGTTTTTGGGTGTTGAACTTTCTGAAGGCCTTGCATTTCATCAGGGCTTCCCTTGGGGTACAGAAAACTGTCAGTCCAAACCAGCTCTAGGATTTTCCATGCTGTGGGTTGCAAGGGCTGGTTCAGGGCAGCAAGGTGAGGTAGGGCAGCAAGAGGAAGAGCCAACACTGGCACCAGGGTGATGCTGAGAAATACCCCAAATTCTGCCCTGCATAACTGGTGTCAGCCTGTCTGCTGTCTTTGCCACTTTCTTGCTATTAAGGCAACACTGGACCAATTTTCAGCTGGCTAAGAGGTGATACTCTCCCTTTCCTTCTAAAACACAATCATTTCCCACCCTTACATTCATGGCAGCCTCAATACTGCCTACTCCCAAGGGCTTCCAACTCTGGCTGGATTCTTGCCTCCTTCCTGCCCAGTTGTGTTACTAAGGAAATCTCTCACTTCCTCATTCCAAGAGATAGCTCTCTGACTACTTCACTTTCCCTGTTTACCTCTAATCACAGCTTTCTTAGGCTACTTGCAAACTCTCTACCACCTTCTCTTCAGCTGCTTCCCAATCCTGCTGTTCCTCAATAACTCACTCTGCCTGGCCCTCCATGTCTCCCCCTTGTTCCTGGTCACTCATTCTTTCCCTCCACAGGGACATTCTTTTTGGTGCTTCATGTTGTTTCCAACTGCTTTGTACCCATCTATGACATACTCTCATTTTATTACTTTTTCCCCTCTACGTTCCCATAACATTTTGTTCAAGTTTCTAATGTAGCCATCATCGCAACGTCTATCTTGCAAGTGTTTGCACACTTCTAGTCCTGATGGCCATACAGACGTTTTCATTGTTGCATCCCCAGTTCCAAGAAGAGCCCTGGCCTACACTAGACCCTGTGTGTTGAGTGAATAAATGTTTCTGTCATTCCAAATCTTCATTGTTGATTGAGTTTGCCATGATGTTTATTCTCCTGATTTCATCATTGTCCAAAGATTTTTTTTTAACTTTCCATTTTGAAGTACATTCAGAGTTTCAAAAGAATTGCAAGACTAGTACAAAAACTTCCCACACAATCTTCAACCAGATTCCTCAGACATTAACATCTAACATAACCACACTGCAATGATCAAAACCAGGAAATTAACACTGATGCTTTCTTCAAATTTTTTCCCATTAACATTTTTTTTCTAAAACAGGATCCAAGTCCAGGGTCATATATTATGTTAAGTTTCCACGTTTCCTGAGTATCTTTTAATCTGGAACAATTTCTTTCGCTTTGTCTTCTATGATCTTGAAACTTTTAAAGGTCACTGGCCAATGCTAGTCAATGTTTCTGTAAGATGTTTCTCAAATTAGGTTTGTGTAATGTTTCCTTGTGATTATGTTTTACATATTTGCTAAGAAAACACTTCACAGTGCATTGTATTAGAGGATATATGTTGTCTATTGGTCCCATTACTGATGGTGTTAATGCTGATCACTTGATGAACATGGTTCTGACAGGTATCTCCACTCTAAAGTTATTCTTTCCCTTTGTAATTAGTAAGTATCTTGTAGGATTATGCGACTATGCTGATTCTCATTATACTTGTCTGATTTTCGTATCCTTTGATTAATTTGGACTGCAATGATTGTTATTGTGGTGTTTTGCAAAAGATGGTTTTCTATTTCCCAGATTTTAAATGAGGCTGGGGAAAAGATCAGCCTGTGGTGTATCACCTAAGGGCCTACCCCAGTGATGACCCATCCTAAAGCATTCTCTAAATGAGACCTGTGCATTTCAGATAACACTCTGGGTCACAGATCTCTGTAATACAAACTACTCTTTTTCTCTTTTCTTCCCTCATCCTCAAATCTATTTGCAAATGCAAAGAGGCACTCCTGATGGGATGGTGGTGTTCCTGATGAGACACCAAGAAGGGCTATCACAAGTAAATTGATCATGACTTAATTATTAATTCATGTTTCTAAAGTACATACTGTGGAGATGAGTGCTCTAAGCCAAAAGATCCTTGGCTCACATTTTTAGAACTACTGTCTTAAAGGAAAACTGCATAGGCTAAGATCAAGGTAGCATATAATAAATCAAGACCTAATGTCTCCGGGGAAAACACATCCCAATCCATTCCAAGCTATGTCAAGAAGTTAATGACCTTGAGGATCTTTTCTAAAGCATTCAGACACTTTCTGAATTTAGGGAAGGAATTGGAAGATGTATGAGACTTAAAAGTACTAAAACTCTGGATCCTTGACAAAATTCCTGTTAGATTCCATTAATCCCTGAAGTATAGGGATTTATTAACTAAAGAAAATTTCAAATCCATAGACAGTATTTAAAAAGAAAACCTTTCTTTTGCTATGTTTATGATAGCTATCACTGTGTGGCCAATTTTGAGTTAATTCTTCTCTGCTTAGGGAGGCCAAAGTGGTACAGAACTGCGTGTTTTCAGAGGACTGCAAAGCAAGGCATCAGGATTCCTGGCTGTAGGAAGACTCCTTGGGATAAACAGGTAAGTGGACATGGATTTATATTTAGGATTGAGATGAAGAATAAAGAAATAGACTGCTTCAAATCTAAGCAGGGTCAGCAGGGTGCTGAGGAAGATGAAGTTCACTGGAGCAAGACAGAATCCAAGAAATGGACCTGTCTCTAGACTTAGTCTCAGCGTTAGAGGAAAACTCTCAACTATTGTCCACCCCACACCATACCACATGGAACCTGGGAATTGCAATCTGTAAGAAATGATAATCCCAGCACCCTGGAAGGCTGAAGCAGGAAAATTGGAAGTTTGAACCCAGTTTAGTCAACTCAACAACTTAGTGAGACTCTGTCTCAAAAAATAAAAATAAGAAAGGGCTGGGCACGTAGCTCACTGTGAAGGACCTGGGTCCAATACCCAGTACTGAAAAAAAAAGATAAAAACCTTTCTTGGATTGGATCAGAGAAATCTTTATGTGAAAGTGGTGGTCCTAAGTGAATTGTTCTATTTTTTCTAAAAAATTCTATTTTTTTTTTTTTTGGTACCGGGGATCAAACTCGGGTCCTTGCACTTGCAAGGCTGGCAGCGGAACCACTGAGCTAAATCCCTGGCCCCTAAAAAATTCTGTTTTTTAGTAGTACATGTTTGCCATACACAATGATTACATTATAGTGGGAAGCTGGTACAAGTACATAACGCTTCTTAATTCTTTTTACTTCCTTTCTCCACCTTCCATCTCTAGACCCCCTTCTCATTTGCAAAAGATCTATGTTCCTGTTTCCTATTATTTATCTTTTATTTTGCTCTTTAAATTATTTATACTTTTGGTTTCTCAGCTGCCTAAAGATTCTCTGGGACAGCACAAAAGCTCTTTGTCTTGAGAAACAAATTCTAATCACAGACCTTCTTCAGAGCCCTGGAACTGAGTTTACTCTCTGTAACATACCTTCTTCTAGTTGTCAGGGTAGCTCTGCCCAAAGAGATGGTGATATCTAGGACTAACTTCTTTCTCTTGCTTCTCAGTAGAGTCTCAGGGACAAAGATCTCATTTCACAGCTCTGAACCCCAAGCTGACAGGGTCCCTATAAGGCTTGTCTTCCCCTAGCTGTGTTCTCTGAAAGAATGGCCACAGGGATCTCTTGAACATACACGTCAGCACTGGGGCACAGATTGAGTACTAGGCTGGGTACTTGTCATGAAGAAGGAGAAGGACCAAGTCACATCTTTGTCCATCACTGAGCACCATGGACCTGGGAGAATAGTGCTATTCAAAGGACATGTCCTGTAGCATTGGTTGGCTCAGATTCTCAACTGTAATGTGGGGAAATGGTTTGCTCAGGCCCTGTGTGAATTCTTTCAGTCAGATTGGTGTTAGATCTGGCCTCACGTTGCTGCAGCTCGATTTGGAAAAACACTTGTAGTGGGCTGGAGGGCTGGATAGTGACTGAGCCTCTGTCAGGCCATTTTATCAGCAGCACTGGTTTTGTTTCCCGTGTAGAGGCCATTACACAATCCTGGAGCCTTTCCACTTCTGGAATACCCTGCAAACATACAGAGAAGATATGACAAAATAGCCTTTCTCTAAACATTATTCATTCATTTAATTAATCATGCTGTTGCTCAATGAACATTTATTAAGTGGCTACTAAGCGGCAAGCACTGTGCTCGGTGCCGGGAATGATAGCCGTGAACAAGCAAATGAGGTCATTGACCTTGTTTTCAGTGCAGGAAAACATAGAAGAAACAATAAATTAAAAAGAATATTGTAGATAAGAAATGTTATTGAGGAAAAAAACCAGGTCAATACAATAGAATTGTCTGCTTTAGGCAGGGAAGATCTCCCTGATCTGAAGGGTAGGACAGGTCCAGAACCAAAGGATGAGAATTCTAGGCCTTGGAACTATCCCATGCCAAGGCCCTGTGGTAGGAATGTGTTTGAAGAAAGAGAGGTCAGTGGAGAGAGCATACAGGGGTGGTCAGGGAGGAGGGGCAGGGTAATGAAGCCAGTCAAGGTCAGAGCAGCTGGCAGTGGCTGCATTGTGAAGGTCTTCAGGCCTTGTCTCCGTGTTTTAGTCTCCTGAAAAGAAGCTAGGTGTTTTTCTGGCTCAGTCTTTAAAAATTTTCTTTCCTAGAGACCTTGATTTCATCTAAAGCCCAAGGAAGCAGCAGAGGGGGGCAAGGCTTCTGCAACCTCCTCCAGAGTTTCACTTCCAGCCACTATGCCTCTCTCCCCTTTATCAGCTTTGCATGTTCAGATTCTGTGTAAAATTTAGTCTCTCAGTGGCTTCATAGTTTGGGATGTTACAGATGGGCTAGAAATTCTTTCATCAAGAAGTGGAGTCTATTCACGCTGCTCTTGAATCTGGGCTGGTCCTGTGACTGCTTAAACCAGAGAATGTGACAGTGATGCTGAGACCTTCCATTTCCTCCTGGACAGACAGGCTTTTGAAGCCTCCACCGCTGTATAAAAAGACTCCTCTATGCTGAAGAGAACAAGTGGTGAGAGCCAAGGAAACCACAGACAAGGAGGTCCCAGTCACCAATACATGCCCTCAGCCAGGCTGTGCAGCGAGGCCCAACATCACACTCCTATAGGGGATGCAGTACAGCACTTGGGGCAGTCCTGTCTCTAGCAGACACCATCTGGAGCAGAGACACACCCTTCTTGCCTTGTCATGGGCCTCAGCATGGTTATTTGACATTAAATGGTTCCTGTTTTAATTTACTTTATTTTGGGGCACTTCGCTACACACTGATAGCTAACTGAAGCAGAGGTTTAAAAAGAGTTTGAAAACCACTCTTCTGAGCAAAATCAGTGGTTTTACAAAAAATTGAGAACATAGCTCTGATAGTTCAGGAGGCCATGGGAGAGAAGGTCAGGACACAGGACTTCAGCTTAAAATGGTCCTGAGGTGGAACACCACACAACTTTGTTTCTAAAATACTGTACAAGTAACAATATGAACCTTGAAGGCTTGGTGTCTGACACTGTGATGGCAGACTTAAAATGAGACACAGTAGGCAAAGACCTTGGCACCTAATAAGAGTTCAATAAGCTGTCAGTATGGTATGGTCATCAGCCCTTCCATGGGGAGCTCCAGGCAGGATTCCTGGGTTGGGAGCCTGTTCAGTGGGTCCAGTCCCCTGTCATTGACAGGGCCCGTATGGAAGCATAGGTGTCCATAGAAGTAGGAGCAGGTGAGTTGCCCATACTCACTGTGGAGTTTCTTTAGGTACTAATATATTATGTTAACATGGTATTTCATAACATTGAATTAGTATTGAGAACATTTTCCCCTTTTCAATTCTTTCAGTATTTATAAAATCAAAGCAAAAGTGCTACTATGGTTGTAACACCTCCCTAAACTTTGCTAATCTAGCCACCTTCCATTTTATATTTCTGTTTATTTTTATTTCTTTAATTTTAGCAGACAGAATACAACTTTCAGTTTAAAAAATTTGCCAAGCAGCAGTATGTAACTAAACTAACATCAATTGATATCATCATCTAGTTTCCATTGTATTTATTTTTGTCCATCACTAATTTATTTTTGAATTTGATAAACATTTCCTTGAAAATAAGGAGGTAAGTAATTTTAAAGAAAAATATGAGGTAAGAAGTTGTACAAGTTGTACGCTGTGACAAAGATTGGGATGAAGTTATGCAGGTGATTGACATAAATTCTGCCCCAGTGAACATTTCCAGACTCGGTGGGGCCTACTTTGGGTTGTCAGGAGGAAGGAAAGCTGATAGAGCCTTTGGTGTGTATACTTTCTCTGCCACCTCTGCGACCCAGGTACTACAGTCTTCCTGAGCCTAGTGGGATGATGAGGCTGCAGGAGGAGCCACAGCTTCCTAGCTAATGCTCTAATAAGCCATGAGCTCGTAAGACTCGCCTCGGCCCATCTCAGCCAGCTGTGGTGTCCAGGTGATGGCATTTTAGTTTCCTAGTCCCTTCCAGAGCCATGTGGGCCCATGTGCCACTGCACCTGCCTGGGACTCCTGCCTAGGTGTTTGTGTCGGCTCAGCTCTCCCTGACCTTCCCAGACGGCAGCTCTTGCCTCCCTAATGCGCTCAGCACTTTTAAGCTGTTCTGTGATAGTCTCAAAGGGCATGGAGATGAGAGCTTTGCTGAAAATGTGCCTCCTCTGCAGGAAAGGGCCAGGGAACACTTAGACAGGAAAAGGACAAAAGATCAAAGTGGTTTTGGAACAGAAGAGAGAAGGGGGCGGGGCTATAAAATTTGAATGAAGAGCCTGGCAAAAGAAGAAGAAGCAGGAGAAGGTAGATGGGTTGATTTTGGAGTTAGAGCTAAGAGGGGAGAAATGATAAGAGCAAGGATGGGAGTCCTTTTAATGATAGGGCTTAGAAACCAAAAATGTTAATGCAATCCTGAGCAAAGCATCACAACCTATCACAGTGTTGCTCTCAAGCACTGAATATAACCATGGAATTTCTATCTGAGCACAGACTTTCTATGGCTCCTTTATCCTCCTAGGTATCTGCTCTTAGGTTACTTCCTCCATGAAGTCTTCTTGGATGACACCATCTAAAATAATAGTCTCCTCCTTTTCTAGTCCAGATCTCACCGTGGTTTAATCACTTACTACTGCATGGAATTTTATTTGATCATTTATTTATTGTCATTCTTTCCTATTAGATAGTGACCCCATAAAGACAGAGACTTTGCCTGTCACTTTGTATCTTCAGCTCCTCTGGCACAGAGGAGGCATCCAGTAAACAAATGTTGGAAGAATGAATTTAACCAATCAATGTTTATGAGACTCCTGTTATAAGCAAAATAATACTAGGAATAAAAGATGACTCAAAGGAATTTTACCCTCAAGGAATACTCCAATTATTATTATTATAATCACTACCAGTGTTAGAGGGCTTACTACATGCTAGGCACTTTATAACTTCATGTTATCTTTAGTAACTAATGGTAATTGTTAAATATAAACATGTTTAACAATAGGTGTTGCAGACACTGACCTATCAGTGCCGTGGCTGTTGCTGAGATCTGAGA